TATAAGCACTTTAATTTATTATTAATTTAATTGTTTCATTTTTATGTTTTTCTTAGTAGTAATATACAAAATGGCACAAGCGAATTGGACCAAATTTCACATATTGTGTTATTCTACAATCAGTTGAATTATTTCAGGATGCACAAGACTGTCTACATTATAAAATATATCTGGTCTATCACAATCTAAAATAGAATCCATATCCTCCAGTTTTATATCATTCCATTTATGTGCATTCTGTATTGGGATACTGCTTCACAGCATCTCTCACCTCATCAGTTGACTCACTCCTGTATCCAGCATCTCTCCATGACAACATTGCATCATCCGTGGTCCAGAGCGGAGCTAATTTGCTATCCGGCAGCTAGCTATAACATTCAGAGCGTCAAATAAACACATATCAATTCATCCACACACCACTGTAATAATTCATGTATATTTACTGTATATTCACTGAAATGCATAATGTACTGTACTTTTCTGTCAATAAACAGTGTATCATAATGCTAGCTGTGCTATCAAGTTTCCAAACAACTATTCTAATATAAAACACGCAAACACATGCTCGTATAGCCTTACCAGACGCGCGTTCATTCCTCTCCATGGCGCCGTGGAATGTTCTTCACCATATATAACTTGTAATATGATTATCATAGATTGATATAATCAGAGACGCGTGTGCCATATCCATTCCGTGAGGGAATCTCGCCTTCAACACATTCAAAAAACTACAGAGACCAGAAAACCCCCACAGGCACAGTCCCGGATGCAAGACCCCCCTCTCCCCCTCTAGTGATGCAGTGGTGTCAAATTTCATGAACCCATATATGGGCTGATACCATATAAGGAAGGCTATGTAAATGAAGCATAAACATTTTTAACACGATTTTGGACCCGTATCCGGGTCCACAGAGTTTAACTGGTTTTAATACAACTGTTTTCAACACATAGTAATAATAATAATAAGACATGTTTCTTGAGCACCAAATCAGTATATTAAAATTATTTCTCAAGGATCATGTGACACTGAAGACTGGACTAATGGCGTCTGAAAAGTCAGCTTTGCGCCTCAGGAATAAATTATATATATATATATATATGAAAAATATGTCTGTGATATTTCACAGTATTACTGAGTCCTCATTCGCTCCTCCGTTGCCCTGTCTTATTGTTCGTCATCCACCCCTCCCTCGCCACACTCTCTTGTGTTACTCCAGCCGGTGTATGCGGGCTGCCCATGTAAATCTTTAATCAGTGCTGGCATCTCTGACACCAAAGATGCCAGGCTAAAGGGTGTGGATGTGTGTCCTGTGTCCTTGATGCCCGGTGAACAGGAAACCGAGCATGAATTCAAGCTTTTCAGCTCTTTCTATAAATGTGAAGCCTCTTTGCTTGTCTCCAAGCTGTTTTTGCAATGGTAAACAAAAAAATAATCCTGCTCCCAAATATGCATTATTCATGTGTGAAACATCAGAACATTTTGTGCTCTTTTATGGGAAATAAAGACACTACATTTTCTTTATTTATTCACTTACCATAATAACATATAATAACTAAACCAGTTAGTTAAATGTGAAAATAAATTACACTGAGCATGTAGTATTTGTAGTATTTTTCTGCAAAATTATCACTTTATAAAATGTTATATTATGCGTATGGACAAGTAGTCTATTTTGCATGTAAGGAAATTACTGGACCCAAACCTGAGAAGGGAGTCCAGAAGATCCCACGGCATTCCTGTACACATTCATACAGTTATAATTCATGGGGGTATTTTTATATTTATTGTGAATGAGTGTGGCCTATTTAAAAAATGATTGTATCTAAGGATTAATGAAGCATTTGTGAATCACGAGGAGTGTTTTCAGGGAAGGTCCGCATTACATGCACTATGGAAAATATAAAAATCAAAACGAATTAAAAATATGTCTTTGAAAATATAATGTCAGTGGTACTAAAATAACACAGCTGTTCATTGACTAAGTTTGTAGCTTTGGTATTAACAATCTCCAAATGGCCAAATAACGTTGGGTTATGCCACCACTATGTTTATTCATTATTTAAAAAACTCTATTATGAAATTAAAACTCTGATCATTGTGTGGTCTTAAGTCTGTTGTTGTGTGTGCATTGTGTTGCTGTAGAATTTTTTTTTTAATCATTTACAAATGTATTCGTATAATCATTTGTTGGTTGTTCTTTATACCACTGGCACCGCAAGAACAAAGCAAAAGCAGTATCTCCTAGTATGGCATTGTTGAATTAATGGAGCAGCAGTGGCTGAATCGCAGATGTCCCCCCCATTAATTTTTTCTTGTCCTTTGGTTGGCTGACTTCTGATCTGAGGAGGATGGCATGATTTAGAGCATGCACACACGTGTGCGCGCCCATGTGCTGGTAAATGTGCGTTTGTGTTTGCTTGTGTGCAGAGGACCTGTGGGGTACCTATTCGTGTGTGTGTGTGAGAGAGAGAGAGAGAAAGTCGTGAGCAGTGAGTGCTGCTCCTGTTTGTGAGGCAGAGAGTGTCTCCCTCTGCTAAATGAATGTGGATGTTAATGAGTGGAGTTATTTTTAGCTCTGTGTTGAAAGGCAGGCACTCTGCCAATTGAGCTGCCTGGCTGCTGCAGCAGAGTGCGACTTCACTGGAGATGTCATGGCGGGGATGAGAGAGAGGGAGTGAGAGAGCGTCGAATGGAGGAAATCAGCCCAGTGACCTCCACTGAACACTGGCAAATACAGTCATGTGGATGCAGTTGGAATTCTTTGACAAAAGTGATGGACATAATGACACTTACCTCTCTTACATGTGTGGCGTAGTCCTCCAGATGGGCGGGACTTCTTTAAACGGGGTTACTTAAAACGTTGCTTTATGCTGGATAGTATTAATTTATCCTGAGTTGTTCAAATTGCGGTAATCTAATACGGTTTTAATGATAATTAAAATCTGAAACAGTAATACTAATCACGGGGAATTTTATCAATATTTATCACAAACCGGTAATTGTTCCATCCCTAGGGCACTGTGATCATTTACTAACGAGCAGCGCGTGATCCAGTGTTTTCATTGTCTCAGAGCACGAGCTTATAATATTAATTTGGGAATGTAACATGCAACTATCTTCCTTAACTATCTTCTTAACTTTTAATGAGAAGCATTTATAACAGCTGTTTTTCCCCACCAAAATTTTGATTGGAAATGAAAATTTTTAATGCTGCTTTTTTTTTTTTTACAGTTAGATATAATAAGTAATATTTCTTATTGTTTAACATTTTCATTTAGCTGGAGTATTAATAATAGTAATAACATTATTATTATTGTTGTTGTTGTGTTATTCTTTTCCAATTACAATTTTGGGCCAAAATGTGCAGTCTTACAAGCAACCACATCAAACCTGGAGCTTATTTTATTTTATTGCATTTTAAATCATAATTGCAATATTTATCCGAAGATTTACAATTAGATTGATCCAAATCATGCAGCCCTACAGCCACACAGTATTTATTTTGTATTTACATGTGAAACAGAAATTAGCAGACATCTGTTAATCAATCAAGTGGGATCTGACTAATGCTAATGACAGCACAGTGATGGCGTATTGGACAAAATATCAGAGTACTAGTATTTTATACTGATGATTGTGCCAAAAGGTACCATTTTTCCCAAATGTGTCCAATTGATATCACTTTCAGAGCTGTTTATTGAGTAAGTCCCCCCCCAAAAAAGAAAACCTGAGTAACCAGTACAGCAAATTCTCATCAGGTTATGTGTAGCTTTATTAGGATAGGGTATCTTTTTTACCCCCATTTTCCTAGTGTAACTTTCTGAGTGCAAATATACATGTCACATTTCTTTCAGTGAAGCGGAGCAGTGTCTACTAGAGCGAGTATTGAATGGACTTCTATTTTTATTCACTCTCCTCTCCCCCCCTCCATATTCTCAGACATATTCCGTAATTAAAGTAGCCTACTTTTACAGTAGAACATTTGAGTGCATTTTACAAAAAAGAATCATGCTCTTGTGAAGAGAAACTGCAGGTGTAGTTTAAGTGACATGCTTTGTTGCAGTTATTTGATAATAGTTATGTTAGTTGATTTATTGGAATTTTTACACTGAAAACAGTGTCTCGCTTTCATCAAATCAAACCAATGCAAGACAGCGTTGCATCATGTAGTTAACATTCTATGACATTTCATAAAGCTCTTGCATTCCTAATGTTTTGTAATTGTCTGCTTTTCCTTTTCCCCCCCTCCAGAGAGCAAGTATAATGTAGAGACCAAAACCATTTCTGCTGACTTTGGATCTGTGGACATCTACCCTAAGATTGAATCTGGACTGGCCGGACTTGAAATAGGAGTTTTAGGTATATTACATATCTGTAATTTAGGTGATAGTGGGATGCTATACGGAGTTATTTGGTTTTGTCCAGAACAAGATGTTCTGGGCTCAAACAGCTAAACTTTTTTTTTTTAATAATGAATTGTCTCTTCAGTGATACTTTAATATTTGCTGCCAGCTATAGGAAAGTGGAGGGAACTACCTGTGTTTCCAGATCTCTTTTTAAAATATCCTGCTTACTTACACAGTAAGAAATGGTTATAAAAACTGAAACAAGTAGTAGGAAAGAGGAGAAATAAAAAGCGATACTTATCCTTTGCCGGTGTCCCTGCCCGGTGGAGTCGCACGGTAGAGTCGATGGTCTTTACACTCTTCGGTCTTCACACGAGGAGACCATCACGCGACGGCTGCCGCGGTAAACTAAGCTTTTTTTCATTACATAGTTTTTATAATTTGCTAAGAAATTATAATTTAGTTTTTGTTCATTTTTTTTGCTGGCATGGTTTTAAGACTTCTATATAAATGACATCTTTGCCTACATTTTACTAACAGTAATATTGTCTCTCCTGCTTCCTCTGTATTACTTTTCTTTGTCTTGGCGAGCCAAGTTTCTGAACACAAAATAAGTGCTGTTGGCACTTTAAAAAAAAGTGCTGTTGGCATGAAATGTTGTGTACATGTTAATGCATTCATTGATTTGGTATTAGAACGTTGCAGAACTCCTTTTTGCACTAAAAAAGAAGGTTTTGAATTCTGATTGTAACAGTGTTTTCATATTACACTGAACTTTATCAAGGAAAAAATGATTCCTCATAATGTGATTAACTAATCTGACCCATTCATGAAAAATCAATACATCACTTCCTATATGATGCTCATGAAAGTTGAGTGTAGCTCAGTGCCTCTGCAGGTCTTTATTATACAGCCAGTCTATGCTGCCACCTTCAGGATCCAAAATGTATTATTCTGTTAGTGCAATACAATGTGTGTGGTTTGCAAAAATACATGTCCATTCATAGACATGGCACAGTGTGCTTTCATGCATGTGTGAAATATTACTGCTGGAGTTGATCAGATTTTAATTTATTGTGCAATAGCTTTTAAACCTTGTTGATCTGATTAATATGCCCTATCCTTGCACTATTGTAGATGACACGACTGGTACTGCCCAGGATGGTAGAGAGGTAAGCTCAGAAATCACCAAACTATGATTTTTTGTTGACATTCAGAGTAGTGTTTGGTGAAGCAGATGGAATGATTCTTATACTTGTAGCATTATGACTAACTAGTAGGCTCTGTCCCACAGGAGTGTGTCATGCTAATTTTTATGTGGTTATTTTTGCACAGTTTGGTCATCCCATGCTTACGCAGTGGTTTTGGCCTTTACATCTTGCACACTTCAGTCCAGTAATCATGAACAAATGTTCCACTTTCACATATTTTGATCTGTCAGACTGTCAATTATAAATGTTGCATGTTGATGATAAGCTGTTAAAGGGATAGTTCACACCCACAAAAAATTCTTTCTTCTGCTGAATACATAAGTAGATGTTTTAAAGAATGTGGGTAACCACACATTTCTGATCCCCATTGACTTCGATAGCATTTTTTCTTCCATACTGTGGAAGTCATTGGGGACCAACAACTGTTTGGTTATCCACATTCTTCAAAATATCTCCTTTTTTTGTTCAACAGAAATTCATACATGTTTGGAACAACATGAGGGTCAGTAAGGGATGATAAAATTGTCATTTTTGGTGAACTATCCCTTTAATTACATCTTATGGCAGAGGCTGACTGTGTCAAGATGAAATGAAACATAGATATAATGGGAAATTTGTCCAACCAATGTAATTTAGTTAGGGTCTTCCTTAGTTATGAGAATAAAAGCTAAGTAGAAGTATTTGTAAAAGCAAAAGTATTTGTAGCTCCTCCCTTCTAGAGCCCTAGAGTCTGGTATGCACTAGTACATAATGCAACAGTATGTACACTGGCATGGGCACTGGTTGCCATAGCAACAGGGATGCAAGAATCCATTAGCAGGTACCAGTGTGTTAGAAGGGATAATTCTGTGCTGTCAAAAGAGTCAAGTGAAAATGGAATGAATACGTTGGACATTTTAAGCACGGTTGTCTTTGTAAAACATGCTTATGTGCTGTTCTGCGACAGTTTGAACATTAATGGGTGAAACAACACACCTTTTTCCAGGTCTAAAGGAGTGATCTTGAATGTTGCTTCTGCGAGTGGCATGTACCCTGTTCCTCTTCTCACCCTCTATTCTTCCTCAAAGGCAAGTCATCTTTCTCTTATTCTCTCTACCATTGATCAGTTTTTCGATATCTTTGTGAGAAAGGTCTGTCTTGTCTTTTGTTGCTAATGTTCTCAGAGGACGTTGCTGTATATAAAATGGTTAGCAGCACTATTTTGAGCAAATTAATTGTTGATATTAGAATGCTACTGCAGCTTGAAGCCTTTGGTTATTTTTTAGCTTTCACGATGTTAAATAGCACGCATTACATGATTATTCTCATACCCCCCCCCCAGGCCTTTGTGGACTTCTTCTCCCGTGGACTTGAAGCTGAATACAAAAGCAAAGGGATTATTATACAGGTGAGTGACAATTTATTAACAGTAGTTTAAAGTGAGCACAGAATTCAGACATCAGCATGTTGTTGTCTGAAAATCATCATCATTTCAATATGCAAAGATGATTTTAAGTGTAGTGCCATTTAGGATATGTAGTGTATGATGTTTTTTACTAGTAATGATGTTCAGGTCACCCAGATTTATACTATTTCAACTGCTTATTCTGATAAAGTGTCTTGTGTTGTGTCTTGCCTTGAAGAGTGTGCTGCCGTTTTATGTGACGACAAAACTGAGCAAGATCAGGAAGGCCACTCTTGACATTCCCACTCCAGAATGCTACGTTAAAGCCCAGCTGGGCACTGTAGGCCTGCAGACTCAGTCGAATGGTTACTTCCCTCATGCCGTCATGGTGAGACCCTCTTAAAATGCATTCATCTTTAATTCAGTGTTCAGGTTTACAGTGAATTCGTTATACAGTACCGTTCAAAAGTTTGGGGTCAGAAAGATTTCACTTATGCTCAGCAAGGCTGCATTTATTTGATCAAAAATACAGTTCAAAACAGTGAAATTGCGATTAATAATATTACAATTTAAATGAATGTTTTGTTATTTAATATTACCTTAAAGGGATAGTTCACCCAAAAATGAAAATTCTGTCATTAATTACTCACCTTCATGTCGTTCCAAACCCGTAAGACCTTCGTTCATCTTTGGAACAAAAATTAAGATATTTTTGATGAATTCTGAGAGCTCTCCGACCCTCCCATAGACAGCAATGTAATTAACACGATCAAGGTCCAGAAACGTAGCAAGGAGATCGTTAAAATAATCAATGTGACATCAGTGGTTCAACCATAATTTTACGAAGCTACAGCAATACTTTTTGTGCGTATAGAAAACAAAAATAACGACTTTATTCAACAATTCGTCTCCTCCGTGTCACCCTATAGCACCATTTTGGAGAGTATCACATACGTAAACAACGTATGCAATGTATGTACGCGGATACGCTGTTTATGTTCCGATCAAAGCGTAAAGAACGTATCCGTGTATGGAGCTGCTGACACAGAACAGCGTACGTTGTTTACGTATGTGATACTCTCCAAAATGGTGCTATAGGGTGACACAGAGGAGACAAATTGTTGAATAAAGTCGTTATTTTTGTTTTCTTTGCGCACAAAAAGTATTGTTGTAGCTTCGTAAAATTACGATTGAACCACTGATGTCACATGGATTATTTTAACGATCTCCTTACTACGTTTCTGAGCCTTGATCATGTAAGGATCCTTGCTGTCTGTGGGAGGGTCAGAGAGCTCTCGGAATTAATCAAAAATACTTAATTTGTGTTCCAAAACTGAACGAAGGCCTTACGGGTTTGGAACGACATGAGGGTGAGTAACTTATGACCCTTTATCTATCCCTTTAAACTTAAATATAGTTTATTCCTGTGATGGCAAAGCTGAATTTTATACCAGCAATTACGCAAGTCTTCAGTTTCACATGATCCTACAGAAATCATTCTAATACTGATTTGCTGCTCAAGAAAAATTTATTTTTGTAGAAACGGTAATATATATTTTTTTGAGGTTTTTTTGATTAATAGAAAGTTCAAAAGAACAACATGTATTTAAAATATAAACCTTTTGTAACAATATACATGTATTTACTGTCACTTTTGATCAATTTAATGCACCCCTGCTAAATAAGGGTGGTATTAGTTTCTTAAAAAAAAAGAAAAGAAGAATTGCACTGACTCCAAACTTTTGAACAGTAGTGTACATCCTACAAACTGTACTTAAAAGGACCGTTTTGAATGATGGAAGCTTGTAAATGATATAAAGTATAATACTAAAGTGGATTATTTTCATATCCTGTATTTTGACAGTCTAACAAGTCTGTTATTATGTCACTGCCGCAGGGTTGGGTGACTACTGCTCTGCTTCCTGCGAAACTGCTCAACAAATATGTTATGAGCATGGGGTTGTCCCAGCGTGCACGCTATCTGAAGAAACAGAAGCAAGGTTAGAATCAGAAAAAGGACAGACAGAGGGTTGAAGGGATGGTGTGATTAAACGAAAAGAAAAAAAAAATCCCCAATCTCTCTGCCTTTTTGCTGTCAGGGGCCAAGAGCAATCACACCCAACTGCTCCTGAGATGGTACAAAACAAGCAATTAATTTTCCAGACATTAGAGTGGTTTATTGAGTCGTAGCTAACCAAAACATGATTTGCTTGAACAGCCTTTGCTGACCAACACAGTTCTTATTAGCTTGGTAAGACAAATACGGAATAGCTGAAGTTCTTTGTATCCTAACAGTCACTAACAGCATTGATCAGTACGGTTTGTTTGGTTTTCTTTAATGTTTAAAGAGAGTAATCGTGATCTGATGAACATGAACAATGAAAAAAATGTTCTCAACCTGAATGCAGTGTCTATTTGTGCAACAACACGTCCATTAACATAATCAAAAGATTTACAAGTGATATGACTGAAATTAGGCAGGTTGCCCGCAAATATTTAAAAATTGTATCTGCAGCGTCTACAAAATAGTGCACTTATAATTCTTGGTCCATATTTGCTTTTTTTCATCTGACTCGGCAGTTGTTTACAAACTAAATGCACTACATGAACTATTTGTGCCTATCACAGATATCACTGTGCATTCTATCTTTAGAGCATCTTTTTGAAAGGAGATGTGATTTATATTGCACTAACATTGTTGTGTACGTCCTGTGTGGTTAACTTTGTTATGCTGGTGCTGCTGGTGACAGGAAGCAAATTTCAACTCTGACAACAGTTTATTCGAAAGCTAAGGCTGTTGTTCCGTTATTGTCTGGTCTATGACAATGCAGTATTTGCTCCAAAACAGTTCTTAGAATTCCTGAATTCATTATAAATGAAACGGTCATGAATAACTTTTACAAGATAACTGTCTAAAGTCTGCAACAGCAGATTTAATGCACTCAGTATGCCTGCTTGTGAATTGATCCTGCAAATAAAAACATCTTTCTAATAATGCTTTTAACTCTTATGTTTGATTAATTTTTAATGCACAAAAAGGGAGCTGGTAGTTGACATTAATATATTAGATATTAATATATATTATTTTATTGCACATGTGTTTGTGGTAAAATTATAAAGATGGACTGTGAAGGTTTAGTCATTATTCAGTAAGATTCAGTTATGTTGTCATGATGATTTTGGCATGGCTTAATTCTTTAATAGATGAATACAATAAATAGAAGAATAATCATGTTCTGAAGTAGCATGATTTCTGAATCATAAAAAGATAATTGTGTGCTTCAGTGGAAGCAAGGCTATCTTAATTTATGTACAAAGAGTTGCACAATCATTGTCACAAATTTACAAAACTGTTCAAAAGTTTGTGTGGGGTCAGTCATTTTTATTTTTTTTTGGTTGAGATTTAAAGGAATCTATTATGCTCATCTAGGCTCCATTTGTTTGATCAAAATACAGTATATTGTGCAATATTATTGTTTAATTTATTCCTGTGGTGGCAAAGCTGACTTTTCAGCAACCATTACTCCAATCTTCAATGTCAAATGAACCTTCAGAAATCATTGTAATATGCTGATTTTGGGGATCAAGAAACATTTCTTAATATTATTAATATTGAAAACCGCTGAGCTGCTTAATAGTTTTGTGAAAATGTAAAAAATGTTTTGAATTCTGTAGAAAATCATAATTTATTGGAAATATAATTTTCCCTAAACAATATAAATGCTTTTACTGACACTTTTGATCAATTTAATTTATCCTTATTTAGTTAATTTCTTACCTAATTCTTACTGACCCCAATCTTTTGAACAATAGTGTTTACTTATTTGATTAGTGACCTGTCGTTTAGACTCTTTCTCCATTTCACATCACAATTTTTTCTTTCTTGCATTTTTCAAAATCTTAATTTTTTTTCCAGTTTTAAATCTAAGATTTCCAATTAGACTGATAAGCAGTCTGTTTTCATCCCATCTGGGATTGTCTACTTGGTTACTATCAATCAGGACGGCACTCCCGAGTCCTGAGCTCAGCAGACTTCACACCAGAGTTTCCCCCATGCCTCTATTTCTCCCCTGCAGGCAAGAACCATCTGTGTCCAACCCATGTACATGCCCTTTGCATTTAAATGCTATCAAAATCATATTTGTTGGGCCTTGATACAAGTGAATTTTGTAGCGGCATTTAAAAGACCATCTGCCGGGTGTCGCGTCTCTACTTGGTTACTATCAATCAGGACGGCACTCCCGAGTCCTGAGCTCAGCAGACTTCACACCAGAGTTTCCCCCATGCCTCTATTTCTCCCCTGCAGGCAAGAACCATCTGTGTCCAACCCATGTACATGCCCTTTGCCCTTTGATTCCGGAGGATAGGAATGGAAGTCGGAAGTGTGACAGTCCTGTGATGGAGGAGGAGTGTGTGGGAAGAGAAGGCCTATATAAAGCCTCACAGCAGCTCTGGGTTACAAACACTCGAGACGGACACAGAACAGGAGCAGCAAACCGACTTAAGAGCTTCTCTCCAGTTTCTTCACCTACTTCTACCAGCAGCCTGGCTTTCTGCTTTAAAAACGTGGCATTGGAAGACTGACTCGACTTGCAAGAACTACATCTAGAAGAGGAATTTGAAAGAAGCTGTCCTCATTCATCCAAACTTCCATAATGTCCGCACATGCAATGGAGATGAGCCACTTGAATGTTTTGGGCGTTCACCGAATGTCCTTTGCTATGGAGGAATTCCCCCAGATGTTGGGCTTGTCCAGAACCCAAGACTGTGACCGTGCCCGCTCCATCCTGCAAAGGAAGAGGCAGTTCAGCTGCGACAAGATTGCTGAGGAGGTGGACGAGGAAGGACCATTCACAGTGGAGGAAGACAAGGCACGGCGCACCTTCTTGCAGTCGCTTGAGAGTCTGCGCAGATGCACACAAGGACGTCAGTAACTCGAGGAACCTGCAGGCCGGTTTGGACCTCACCTTGAATCTGAATGGACTGAGAGACTGAGGTTCAGTGTAGAATGGAGACCATTTTAAGGGAACAGTCAGGGTAGATGCTTCACAATGAAGCCAGACTGACTGACCCAAACTGTTTATATCTACCAAAGATGGGTAAATTACTGGTTGAGCTGTAATATACGTTTCTGTTCTGATTTTTCTCTGCACTAGTAAATGGCTGCAGTAAACATGTGTAGCATGTTACAGTTAACGTTAACTGGAAATGTCTTGCATGCCTGTCCATCTGGCTTAGAAAAGCTGTGGAGTTGCTGGGCCGCACATTAGCACTGTTATGGTTTTGTCAAAGGCAAAATCTCTCTTGAGACTGTTTTCTCACAGATGCATATGAAAATAATTGCTTTATATTTTGTCTTTATATGATCTGTGCAATAAAGTTTTGTCAAATATAGATATAGTGACTGAGTTCTTGATTCTTTAGAGTAATCAAGATTTACACAAACGGATAAAGTTTGTGTCTTTAAAAAGTTCACCCAAAAGTGAAAAATTCTGTCATTATTTACTCACCCTCATGTCATTCCAAACCTGCATGACTTCTGTGGAACATAAAATAAGGTAATTTGAGAAATGGCTATGCTTTTTGTCCATACAGTGGAAGTCAAATTGTTTGGTTACCAACATTCTTCAAAATATATTTTTTATGTTCCACAGAAGGAGGAAAGCAAACTTGTTTGGAACTAAAGGGTGATCATGACAAATGTTCATTTTCGGTTCACGTTCAATGTTACCCAGTGATATACAGTAATCTCAAGTCCTACAAATTTCATTCTCTGTGATATTCTTAAAAACAGAAATGAATTAATGTAATGTGATAATCAGTTTTTGAGGTATATGTATCAGCTTCTCACATTGTTCAAGTGTGATTCTTGTTTTTTTAAGTTAGTTGGATGGATGATGTTTGTGTACTGCATTTTTTACAGATTCTCAACTGGTTGGAAATAAGGACTTCTTCGCAGGCTTTACCAAGCATGTAGCTTAATTTAATCTGTTCTTGGGATCAGAACATTGAGCTTAGACTTCTTTCAAGCTTCAGTTTTTAGCAGTCAGAAGTATGTATTTGCTGTATGTTCTGCCCCCGTTTACAGGCTTTAAAGGACTAACTTGCCTTCAAATGTTACAAACACTTATGTGGAACACAAAAGGAAGTAATTTAGCAGAATGTCCAAGTTGCTCTTTTTCATACAAAATCCTGTTCCATACAAATGCTGTGTTTCAAAAATAGTCTCAAACTACTTTGATTTTCCACCATCAGCCATCTGGTGGTTATGTGGCTGTTTAGTTTTCCAAAAAAACATAAAACATAATCCTTTTACCAAATGTAATAACTTGCTCCCCTTCTGAAATATTGTTTTTAGTTGAAGTCATAAATGTCTCTTGCTTTTTAACTCCTTCCCTCAACGATCCATTCTGGTATGTAATGCTAATTACCGTTTCACCAAAAAAAATGGTCACATTACTGAAGAAAACTTGAAATTTTGCTTCCCATCATAGTTTTATAATCTCATTCTCCCTGTTCTGTCCTGGCAGTGCTGAGAGACCAGTGAAATTTGTGCAAGTTTTTTTTTTACTCATTTATTGATTATTCTGGGCTTGTATCATGATTTACATAGACCAATAAGTCTTTAAGTAAATAATGATTTGAATTTTGTACAATGTTCCTTTAAGCTGTGTAGCAAATTTAGTATAATAATTGATGCTAATGTTTGTTTATTGAAAGGCTCACAAGGTTATATTGAGAGAATAATTAGAAATCGTTCTGTTTTCTTTCCCTAGTTTCACTTGAATTAATTCTGGAATTGGCATGAAGTCAAGTTCTAATATTCAATACACTTTATCAATAAAAACGGGGCTACACTCTTAAAAATAAAGGTGCTTCACGATGCCATAGAAGAACCTTTTCGTCTAAATGGTTCCATAAAGAACCTTTAACATCTGAAGAACCTTTCTGTTTCACAAAAGATTCTTTGTGGCGAAAGAAGGTTCTTCAGATTATAAAAAGGTAAGAAAGAGATGGTTCTTTAAAGAACCTTTGACTGAATGGTTCTTTGTGGAACCAAAAATGGTTCTTCTATGGCATCGCTTGAAGAACCTTTTGAAGCACCTTTATTTTTAAGAGTGTAGGAGGCTATTTTCGTGACACCTTTGATTAGGGGTGTCCAAACTTGGTCCTGGAGAGCCCTTGTCCTCCTGAGTTTAGCTTCAACCCCAATTAAACACACCTGAACCAGCTATTCAAGGTCTAACTAAGCATACTAGAAGCTTCCAGGTAGGTGTTTTGGAGATGGATGGAGCTGAACTCTGCAGGACGGCAGCCCTCTAGGACCAAGTTTGGACACCCCTGCCTTTGATGAATAGAGTTTGGCCTATGGTCTCTTAAGATCACATCAGCACGGGGGAAGGACAGAGCGCTGTTTTGGCAAGATGCTCATTCATTGCTCATGAAAATGGTGAAGCATGACTCCATGGTTAAAGACCAGGACGTTCAAATCATAATTCATAATTGGTAACCCAAAGCTTGTAGATGTAGAGAGAACTATTACAGTTGTGGTCTTGAGCAAAGAGACCCAAGTTTTATTCCAG